TTAAATCTTACCCATCTTTAAACAAACTTTATGGCGATTCTCTTCCTTTGTAGGTTAAAGTTTTCAAGACAGTTTTCCTAATAAGAGCCTCTTCATTGGGTATTTCCAGTCTTAAAATGAAAAGAAACACTCCCTGTATTAGCATCTACTCACATTTGCCGTTTTACAAGAAGACTGTGCCACTCGCCGCTGCCACTGGGATTTGAAAAAGCTCACAACACTTCACCTTTATGCTGAGCTAAACTCAGGGTAGCCATAAACACTTTGAAGTAATACAAACCTAAATATTCCTGCTAGGCAAACGGAGCAGTGGAACTGAATTATAATGAGCTAGCAGCTGTCACAATATGACCACAGTAACCAAATCAAAATATCAACCGCTAACCCAGATGAGATTCAAAGGTCATCCTATAAGCCAGCAGCTTTCTTCAGTTATGCCTGACACCTCGATCTACTCCTGCAGTAAAATGTTCCACTGAGGTAGTTTAGAAACCAGTGACTCAACAGTGGGAAATTATTTAGTGCACTAGCACAGTACCATTAGTGGGACTAGAAGCAAAACCACAATGAGGAAACCAAACCATTCACAAAGGGACGTGTAAGAACACAGCGGGTGATGTTGAGCTAAGCTGGACCCAACCATACAGAAGTATCGCTTTTCACATCCTGCAGTTACCAAAAGCGTGTCCATGATCTTACTGGCAACTTGCTCACTCAAACAATCTGGTTTTCAATTAAGGCTCTGGAACAATAGAAGGAAAATGCATCCTTGGATCCTTCCCTGAATCAAAAAGTTTTAGCTGGGTAATATATTGTATCCCACTGTACAAATATTTGGACAATTCCCTGCAAAATGTAATGCTTGGCAAAAAACCAAAAAGTAAAGTTTTAAAAAATCCATACTCTCTTCATATAGTTCTTGCCAGGAATTTCAAACTATTCCATAGCACATAGCCCTTTTAAAAACAAGACTCAGGCCCTTGGTCCCTTGGTCCTATTAGCATGTTCTGAAAGCCACCCACTGGCCACCTGTATAGGTTTAATCAAACTATTCAAAACAGCAGCAAACAAGTTTCCAACAGATCAAGTGTACAGTATTATCATTAATAATCACAGGTAGTCACAAGGAAGAAGTGATCTGCTTCTCTCTTCAGGACAAAACAGGACACAGAAATTCAAACAAGTAAAAACTGACCCAATGAAAGCAATGAATGAGGACTTGGGAAATGTCTGGTAAAAGAAAGTATCAATTGGTCAGTGCAGGCAGTCAGCTATGTGACTTGCTGCTTCAATCTCTCAACTCCTCCACACTCCCCTACACCAAAAACAAACAAACAAACAAACAAACACCCAAAAAACACCCCACGATATACTCTCATTTAAAAAAAAAATTAGGGGCTTGCTGTTTTGTCTAGTTTAATTGTGCTCTTCTTTAGAGAATGTATACAATATCAATTTCCAACATTTTGTATGGCTACTCAAACTACAGACAGGGATGGAAGGAGTAGTAAACCTTATAAACCAAGGAATGCCATTAATTTTTCTAGCATAATAAGCATGTGTGTGCACATACTTGCACAAGTGCTCTTGTGTTCATTTGTTTATTTTTAGTTTACAGATTCATGAACTATCAAATAGGGTACTAAATTCAGGTATGAAAGCTGATTTCTAAAAGAGCAAATTAATGGCATCACTCTATTAATTTTATAAATTATAACCTATTTTTCTTAAATGAAATACACAAATTGAGTTTTATTATTTGGGTGCTGAACAAGTATTCTATTACACAAACTAACATTTATGCAAAACTATTCATGTGAAATAACAAAGTTCAGAATTGTAATAAAGGGTTTTACTAGCATAAGAGTTTACGAGCAAATGGTAGCAATTCCTGCATCCTCTCTCCAAAATAGTGGACTTCCATTAAGAACAAAATATAGAATATTAATTTACCCCCAAAAGGAGAGAGTGGTTCATTACTTTTTTCTTTACTTCTAACAAACTAAATATCACAAAGTGAGCAGTTTACATTAAAAAATCAGGTCACTTGAAGTTAATAACTCTTTCCAGTAAAATTACTGTCACTTATTTCTGTAGCAGACACCTAATTCAGTTATAGGCTTGATTGATTTGACAATAGAGAATCTGGTCCAATAAAGTGACTGATTTATTTCTGACGCTATAGCTTTTACCCTAATGTGACATCATAGTAGAATTAAGTCTTTGACGTGTAGAGAAATCCCTTGTAATTAATGAAAAGTAAGGATTCTGAGAATGGATACTGGAGTATTGTCAGAAACTTACATTAAGGTCTAATACCTTCTTTTGGTAGAATGAGAACTTCCACAAAGTTAACACAAAGAGCATAGATTTTTACACAAAGAACAGTTTAGAATATACCGTATAGTGTGTGAATTCAAATTGTTCTCTATGCTAATAGATTTATTTTGTGTCTTTGTCACCCTTTGTAAACTGGTTGCCTTTAATTTCTTAAAAATGACCTATCTTCTCTTTGTAAAGATGCAGCATAACACCAAGCATCGCTCATCTCTAAAGTGGCTGCATTTGAAATAAACAGCAGCTTGAGCAGAATCAATGAGAATCTTTGTTCCAGAATCTAGCCCTGAGATAGTCAAGCAAATCAAGAAGGCGTTTGGGATGTGAGAAATTATAAGGGTGGGAAGAGTTTTTAATGCAGCATCATAGTCAGTTCTCTAAAAATATTTCTTAAAAATTCTTCTCCAAACTAAAAATGCAAGGTCCTTCATAGTTGTTGAAATGTCTTTTTTCTCTCTTTTTCCTTCTGTGCACACGGCCCCGTGCCCTCTTGCTCCGAGGGCGACTTCCCTGACCCCAGTCCGACACTGCACCGTTAATGTCAGATAAACCATTTAGCCCAAGCACAATTCTTTTCTGTGCAAAAATCTGCTTGAGGTGGAAAATGTAGCAGTTTGTAAACAATAAAGAGCCATGTTTCAGACCAGACAGCTTATCTAACAGAGAAGTCCTTTCATGGGGAACAGTGGGTGGGAGCCTCCGGACATAGTAGCATTTCCTATCACAATGCAGGAGACTGTCTTGGCCTCCATATTTAAGAGTTTAATGGGAAGGAGGGCAGACGGATAAAAGAACACAGCTGACATCGACTTTCAGCTTAAACAACAACTAAGTGAAAAGAGCTCTCTCTACTCTAGCTTCAGGCTCTCATCCACTTATATTTTAAATATTATTTGGATTGAAAAATAAATGCAGTTGGTAAAATAGTTGCCCACGAGGACATAGGAATGACAACAATTATTTACTACCTTCGTATTGCTTGATGTATTCTGTAATTAATTTATCAAGTTTTTTAGGAACACCTTTTTACACGAACTTCTAAATAGGAGTAGTAACGTATTTTATTTTACTTTAGCTTTTCAGAGGATAGTTTTAGAATCTGCTAAGGGAGTTCTTTAATATACTCTTTAGGTGCTACTCCTCAAGATTTTTTATTTTCAAATTAATTTTTTCTATTTTATGAAGTTGGGTGAGGATGAATAGAGAAATAATGGCCTTAGAATTTAAAATTATTACTATCGTCATTGAAGTGGCTAAAGTTGTTCTTTAAATTTTCAGTTGATAAATATATCCAGCCATCTGCACACATCCTGAAAACAGAAACGTGTTGTACCTTTCTATTGACAATTGATTAAAACAACAACAACAAAAACCTGGGATTCTTGGGTTTAGCTACAAAGTTAAAACAACATAAACATGAAATTTAGCACCTTACAGTAAAAAAAAAAAGCAAGCACAAATATAAGAACAACCTAGAATCAAGGACAATTTTGCGATTCTCAAATTTGGGATGACATATACAGCACAATATATGATATTAGCCATTAAACATAAATTGCTAGTACTTCTCTGCTTTATCTGTTTATGTTAAATATCTGAAATTCCTTAGAAGGATTTAATGGTGATTTTGGAGGGAGGCGGGAAGGAAGAAATTCAAAGCCCAGCTACCTGAAATGACAAGTATAGTTTCAAGGCTTAAAAATGGAGACATTCTTCAAAAGCATTTGCAATTATGGTTTCAGGATGATACAATCATGGCTGTGTGTTTTCCTTGGAGTATATGGTCCAACAGCTTGCACACCAAGTAATTTAACTTCATTCATTGATGGATTCTCAATAAAATTTGGCCAAGTTGAGAGATTTACTAATATTGTTAAAAACTCACATTTACTAGAACAAGGGTCATTTTTTCAATCAAACATAAAGTAACCAGCTTTTGAGACCTTTTAAGGCATTATGAATTATCTTTTCATTGTTTAGGTTACTGCTGTCAGACCAACGTCCTACAGTGCAGGCACAGCAGAAAACTGCGCTAAGGACTCAGGTAGGAAGGGCATGCTAGAGGCTCACAGACTGCCTCCAGCTACACCAGCGCGCTCCCAGCAGCGTAGGAGGGTGACTGCCTAGACCGCCTGCGCTGAAGTACACCCTTGATAAATGCACAACGGGATTTTATAGTTCAACTTGAAGGTGCTACTCTGAGTTAAACACAATAAACCTATTAAGCACACTGTACCTATTATTAAAGGGGTTTTCATAACCCCTATTAATAAAAACTCACAGCTAATACTAGCTATATCTCATTGCCAACTGGCAAGCCCAATGATATTTTTATTTTAAATAGTCACCACTTTGATTTCATCAACCTTTACTTAGAAAACTACTGTTGCAACACTGAAATTGTGATATGTGCTTTATGTCTAAGGAAGGCAAATTTTCCACAGAGATTCAGTAAAACTCTGTAATTCCACATGGTCATCAAACTTAGTTCTTTATGCTGTATTATCAAGCACAGCCTATCAATATTTTCCCACAATGTAAAATTACTATAGAGAACTGACTAAAAATCCGAGTTCCTAAAGCCATAACATCTGTCTGGGCTTGTGTTCTGTATGGGTAAAACATTCATTCAAAAAATAATATTAATTTAAAATTCATCTTACTTTGTATTCTGGAATTGACGAAAGGTGGAGAGAGATTGTCATGTGACCCAAGGTCCCTGCTGGTCATGTGGTCATAGGGAGTCCCATCTCCATAGTTCTGTAAATAAAACAACAGCATAAGTTTCAATTTTACATGAAAAAAATCAGCACATAAATATGCTCCCACTATTGAGACCCCTCTGATCCAAAATAACTAGAGTCCACCATTTGGACCCAGGAACCTTCTCTTCACAGGAACAGTAGTTAGGAGAGGGCTCCAGGGTTTGCAGAGTTCAAATGTTCCTCATAATTGCTGTGACATCTAGGGAATTATAATAATAGAACCAACTGGCATGAAGTTGTTGATGTGATTAAATGAAATAATGCATGTAAAACACCTAACATATAAAATGTTGTAAATATTAAAGTTATTTTGATAAGCCCACATTATTTTTTTAACTACCCATAGCCTGGAATAAATAGCTTTTGGAAGACCAAGGCAGAGCCTTTGAAAAAGCAACATTTGGTTTTTATGACATTGAAATTTCAATGTTTTGTTAAAGTTGTTATTGTGGTTGTAAGAGAATTGGATCATTCCATAAGTAATTAACACAAAGAGTGTTAAAATTATTATTACAATAGTACTATGAATAAATATCACAACTTTAACATAAATTAGTACTTCTGGATTTGGACAAAGTGTGCCACAAAAAAATGATTTTAAAGCAGACATTAATTTTGTCATTATTATGATTAACTCATTGTTTTAATGGGACTTTAAAATTAAAATACTGTTTTTAAACCGCTCAGTCACTTACTTTTCATGGAGGAACCCATACCATATAGGAAAGAAAATCACGTGTATTATCTATAGTTCAAATTTCAATCTACTAAGGTACATTCAGTAACCGAAAAGGAAAAAAATTTAAAGAGTCATTCTGCTCAGCTGGTTGCAGGGCCCATAAAGACTAAGTCAAATTTACTCAGAGGTGTCAGTTGGTATGTGAGCCAAAGGGCAGAATCAGCCCACATAAAAAAGACAGTGCTGTATGAAAAATGAAAGTGCACGCAGCTCCCTAGAGAATAACTGGAGCCCTTAAAATCCAAACCAACCTGTTTCCAATTGTCTTTCCTCATTTATAAAAATTAAAGTGAATGATGCTGTAATCTAATGCTGTCAATATGTTGACGTATAGAAAGACATCACATAACTAGCATGGATTTTACACTCACTCATTCTATGCCAAGTATTGCATAATACTAATTATTATTAAGTGACCCCATCCTAAAGAATGTTCCAAATGCTTCATATACATTATCTAACTTAAACCTCAGCTGAGTGCTGCAAGGTAGCTGATAATAGCACCACTTTAAAATGAGAGAAGAGACTTGGGCTGTACAGGTACAACTCAGCCACAGCACTCTGTCTTGTGCAAACTCCCCAGCTTTAGAAAATATAAATTGCAAAATATTGACCCAAATTATTCACCAACACATTCCCTGAAGTGGGAGAACAGTTAATGAACACAAAATAAAAGTCAGACTGATCCTAAGTGGATCTTGTTCTCAGAAATGTAATTAAAAGTACTATGTGTATTAAAATGAGAAATCATAAGAAATTAAGTCTGAATGAACTATACAACAGAGGGAAGCACTGCCATCTCCTACACTTGCTGTCAAAGGGAACGGATTTATTTCTGCAAGTGCAGCCCGTAATATGAGAAGGAGGAAAGATTTCCTCCACCCGTCCATGTAATGCATTAGAATGTCCAACTCGACAGCTGGTACAAGGGCTCAGCAAAGTTACTGTTAAGCTTAGAGATCCTGCTGTACCCTGAAGACCAGAGCAAGAACCACAAGGCCAAAGGACAGGTAGAAATGAATAACTACGGCTTACTGAAATGTCCCTATTTTGACAGCTTGATTACCTACCTACCTTGCCTCTTAAGACAAAATGGACACCTTCCTCCCCCCACCCAAATCTATGTGCATACTTAAGAGTAAAATGTTACCCTCCCTACAGAATGCTTCATCTATACAGCTGGTTGGGGGAGGTGCAGATGTTTGTTCAGCTATGTGCTCTAAGTCTATTTTTAATTTGGGACATTGTATGTGTATTACAAAAGTTGATATAGATTTTAGAGAGCCTAGAAATGACTCCGCTGAAGACAGATTTTAATTAAATCATATCAATTTAAATTTGAACGAACATAAAAGATCCTTTGGTTCTACTTCTTCAGTTTATAAATTAGGAACATGAAGATCAAAGAGGTGAAATGACATGCCCAAAGTCAGTACATACAAAAACACATCTTGCCTTTCCCACCCCCTTTCATGATCTTCCCATTACAGCCAAACTAACAAACAAATATGAGCAGCAAAAATATGAGACCAAATAAATGAATGAACCCCACTGGTGACCAGAGGCACTACTGGTGAAATAAATGACATGTTTACGAAGTGCAATCAACACAGATTTATTATGTAGATTATACTGATAGGCTAGACCTTCATACCATGTCTTCAGAATTACTCAGTAGTCTATTTGCACCAATATATTACAGGGATGGTAGGACTTTTTCTCAAAGTTGCGCCATCTACAGAAAAATAATTTTCTATAATACTAGATCAACAACTGGCAAAGTAAGGCCAAATATTTAATGAAGGATTTTTCTTCTGGTTAGCAGACGTAGAACAGGTGTCATATTCAATAAGAGCATCCCATAAGAGAAGGGAAAAAAAGTCCAAACACAAGCTGATCCTCATTAAACTTAGTGTGCATATATATCTGTGCAGTTGCATGTGTGCTTGAAAGGAACTCACCTTCAGTTTGTCAATTTGCATACGTAGGGTGTCTGGATGTGGGAGAAAAGATTAGATGTACTTACCCTGGATGGGCTTGGATGTCCTCCATTCCCCCAGGACCCTGAGCTACTTCTGTCTTCTACATCTAGGGACAAGAGAAAAGTTCTTCAGGCTTTCTTGCAATAATTCTCTCTTTTTGTATATGCACTTTTAAATTAATGTTACAAATTAATCTCCTGTTGCCTTTAATTAAGAATCAGGCACAGGGCTACCACGATGATAGTGGCTTCTGACCCATCTACTTAAATTAACTCATTTAAATTCACAGCAAAAATGAACTGGACCCTCAGGAACCAGAGGTATGAACATCAAAATTACTTCCATCTTTCACAGTGTTTCACAGCCTCAACTTTTACAGACATCAAACTGCACTTAACATTTAATTTAAATATTGTGGACAAAGTGTAAAAATACGCTAACACAACCTTAATACAAAAAAAAAGTTAAATTCAGGTAACTATTCATGCTAACATCAGCAGCACGCATGCCATAATGCTCTTGAATACTCTTTGTTCTCTAGCCAAAGCCTGTCACACCAGATAAGAGACATGCAACAAAATATACAAGACAAAAAAAGAATTCCATCCTCTATTTCTACCAGCCTACTACTTGGAAATTAGGATTTTGTTTTTTTAAGTTAAGGCAACACTGTCTCAGTCTTAATTTTTTTCAATAGATGTGGCCACTTCGCCTACAATCCTTAATCTAGGCATTGAGAGGTGGAAATTAAAGTTGTCAAAGTTTCATGTTGATAAATGATAATGAAGAGACTCAAGTGAACTATGGAAAAGTAGGAGTTCTTCTGAAATCCGCAGCAGCGAAGTTCTGACGCTGGCCGGATTGCTAAACACTCAGTCAGTGCTTCCCGTGGCAAATACTCGGGACGGAGAATTTAACAACTGCGTTATCCTATTAATTGCTTAAAACATAAAAGTGTTTTAAAATTTTAAAGATCAGTCACTCTATATTTAGAAACGGCTTTGAGATTTTTGATGAAAGGCCCTTTGTAAGTATAAAAAGTTTCACTGTTCTATTATTTTGATCACGGTTGACAACAGATGGCCATCACAAACTTCCTCTGACAGAACTGAAGGAGGAGGTGTGAAACTCTGGTTCAGCAGACATAGTCCCACTTATTGTGTTTCCTAACATTTCAGTGATACTGTTTATTCTCTTAATGCACTACTGCCATTCCTTTTATTACTGCTATTTTATTTCCAGCAGAAGTAATCGTAGTATAATTAATTGACTTATTTTTTTTTGGACACAGTGGAGTACACAGCATTTTAGAATACCTTAAGAGATAGAAAAACAACTTTTAGGACTAAGCTTGAGTTCTTTCTTTTCTAACCAATTATTTCGGTGGGTTTTTTTTTTTTTTTTTTTTTTTTGCTTTTTTGCTTCAGAAGATAATGCAACTGCAAACAGATGTCCTCTGAGGACAGCTAAAATCAGGGACTGTGAGTTTTAAGGAATGTCAAGAAAGCTCTGGAGAGTACATTCAATCTGGAGAGAAGAAGCAATGTTTTCCCCAAATCTGCTGTCTAACAACTCGACCTCCTGGCCTATCCTGTGTAGGCTGAACTGAAGTACACAAAGAACTGACTTAGAACCCTCTGGATTCTCACATGAGTAAGTTTTGTGGCCTACGTGGTCCTCTTCATCTTTAACCAAATATCACATATTTCAAACAAACAAAACAAACAAATATCACAAAACAAACAAACAAACCAAAACTGTGTAAGTGACAAAATCTCTCAAACGCTGCAGCTTTTCAGAAGTCTAGCACATCTTGAATTCCTTTTCACCTAAAACGGCCAGCCAGCTTGGGTTAACTAGAAAAACTTCTGCTCTTAAATTTGGCCAAAGAATCATGAAGGAAAAGAGCTGAATCCCCATCTCTACCATAAGATGTCATATTGTTTGGACACATTTTATCTTTTCCAATTTTCAAAAAGTAGGCAGAAGCAAGAAGGAAATAAGACCATAGTAATGCCAGGCCAATGGTTCTCCACCAGAGGCAATTTTGGCCCCCAGGGGACATTTGGCAATATGTAGGGACATTTTGAGTTGTCACAGCTTTGGGAGAAGGGGAAGAGGTATACTGGCATCCTACAGATACACAGAACAGTCCCCCACCACAAAAAATGTTCTAGCCCCAAATGTCACCTGTGGCAGGATCGAGAAGTCCTGTGCTAGAGGCAAAGTCACGTTTCAGAGCAAAAAGAAAGAACTGAGTTGGAGAACAGATATACTAGAATTTTATTTTAATTTACAACAAACTCTATTAAAAACAGAGTGACATACATTTTTAACCCATACTTGAGCTAGAGTGTTTCAAGACACCTTCATATATATGTTCTGTCCACAAAATAAAGGAAAAATGATGGTCAACCATGCAGACTGCTAATGAGCAGGCAGATAAAACACATCAGAATTTGAGTATTCCCAACTGGGCAATTTCAAAAGCGAGCAATCCACTAATTAAAAATGCTGGAAGTTTAGGTTTTTTTAAAAACACGTTGAATACTGGCTAGGTTCCTTCACAAGTAGATCCTCAACCAATCGAATCTAACTGCTCTTTTGACGTGCTTTCCCATTTCCACCTTTCCGATTTCCTGACTCATGCCGGGCACCCTCCTCCCCTCTGCTGCTCTCTTTTTAGCAGGTTTTTCCATCTCTTGGCTTCCAGCTAGACAGATCTAGAAGACAGGGACAACTCTCTAGCTCTTCAGAACCTAAGGACACAATCATATGATTTCTGATTATATTTTATTTTTGTAAATGTATCTGTATAACTGGTGCTCATTCATCCATAGCAAGAAGGCTAGAGCACGGATATTTGTAGCTCATAATGAATGTAAACATGCCACGTTTATGTTTTTTGTTCCTTTCTTCCCTCCCACTGTGTTCCATCAGAACCGCCAGTAAATTAGCATGCATTCCCTCAACAACTATTCCAGCACAGCTCAAAGAGCGTCTGAGGCTCACCCTGCATCTGAATCATGCGATATGTTCATCAAAAGTCTGTATCTTAGAGTCCATGGCAGACCCAGTGAGTCTAGATCTCTGGGGACAGAGCCAGGAAAAAATAAAAAAGACACAACTGTTTTTAACAAGGTCCCCAAGTAATTTTCATGTACATGAGTTTGAGATCCACCAGCCTACTCTATTGCAACACAACACAGATGCATGTCCAGCACCAACAGTTGCATGTCTCACTCCCTTTCTTTAAATCCCTGCCTCGGTTGCAGGATTCAGCAGCATTCAGTACACACTCCCAGCACATCTGCATCCCAGTGGGTCTTGCCCAGGTTCACTTTTTATGCAAACCCTGCACATGGCCTACACTTGGCCATTCCTTGTGTATATGAACATTGCGCACACACTTTTATACCTCCATGGTTTTGCACCTCTATTCCCCTCTCCTACACTGGTCTTCATCCCTCAAAAAATAATGGCAGCTAACATTTAGTGAGCTTAATTATGTGTCAGACACTGTGCTAAGCACCTCAATGCACTAATAGTATCCCCATTTTATATATGAGAAAACTAAGGCTTCAATGGGACAGATAACTGTCCCAAGGTGACAATAAATGGTGGAGCTGGTCAACACAGGTGCTGTCCGTGCTAAAAGGCAATGAGTGCTTTTCCCCACCATGAAAATACCCTTCTGGTAAGAAACTCAGAATTCTCCATGACCAGCTTGAAAGAATGGTACCTTCAGTCACTTTTCCCCAGGCAGAGCAAATATATTTATTTGGCAGTTTATGCCCATTCTTGTGTCCACGTAAGATTACAGAATTATAAACAACGCCAATTACCTAAAAGTAAATATTTGAAGAAATCAAGAGACTGGAAAATAAGAGTAGAAGAACAATAAAGCCAGAGGTGCGACGGGCTTTCCAAAATGTACAATGCGACGGACTAGAGAAGGGGTCAAAATCCTAGAAGCTCCGCAGTGGGCAAAGCAAAGAGCGAAGTGAGATTCACAACACACACTGATAAAAAAAAGGCAAATGGTTCAGGAAATCCATTAAGGCCACAATTGAAAAACTGCCTGGGATAGAAGCCATCTGAATATTGTTCTTCCCTCTCCCTTGTTCCTGTTGCCACCTCTATCCAAGATGAGAATAAATAGCAGAAAGACAATAACCTAGGCAGCAGGAAGGAGAGGCAAAAGGCAAGTGGATACTAGAAATTATTCTTCCACAAGACTGAAATGGACTTGAGGATTCAAGATTTTTCAAACTGATTTCACCCTAAACTAGAAGAGACATAGTAACTTTCATGGGATTGACAGCTGCTTTAAAAGGCAGCCTGACAATCCACAAATTTTTTTTAAGTCCCTCTAATAAGTCTGACACTTCAGTGAAGTTAAGAGAGAACCAGGACCAAACCCTCCATTTTAGAGAAATGATACAAACGTAATTTTTAATTTCTATGATTTCCCATCTACATTCATTAAAGTTACGGTTTGATTCCTCAGATATCCATGAGATCAAAACTATCAGCTAGACCAGACAAATATCAGAAAACACTGCACTGGGGCTTGAGATGGAAACCTGGATTTTAGCAGCGACTCTGCATTAACCAGCTCTAGGGTCTGAGCCAGCCTCTGGCCACTCTGAACCCATTTTTTGTCAACTGTAAAATAAGAGGGTTTCATTTTCATTCTTGGAAATAGTACAGGCTAGTATATTTGGATCACTCTCCAGCAAGAGAAAAGTAAAAATGATGGATTTAAAAAAAATTAATCTTCTTTAAAATACCAATCAGCTGACTAGAGAGTAAGGAATTATCAAGCCAAAATCAAAATGAATGCTGGAACCCAGGAAGGAAAAAAACACATTTTGCGCTGAGGACATCTGCCAACCTCAAAAATTTAATGGCCTCTTGGGTCTAAGAGAACTGAAGTGAAAACCTAGCACCCACCCAAAGGTATCTAACAGGAGATAAGGGGATAATAGCATTTCCAACCTCAAGGAGTTACTATTAAAGTAAATGAGGTCATTAATACTTGCTAAACACTTAGGGAAGTACCTGGCCCCTAGCAAATAATCAGTAACCAGTATCTGCCCTGAG